TATTATTATTAAGTAGAACGCACCTAACGAAGGTCCAATGAGCGCGTAGGTATCTGTGTCACTGGGGGAAAGTGTCTCGTAAACTGTTACCATAGGAGAGCGTGAGCCCTCAGTAGAGTGTACTACTTTTTTCAAATCTTCTACATTTTTACGAGAAGAGTTTCATTAAAGAAATCCTGTGCAGAGCTCTAAAAACATTTCATTGGCTGTTAGGTTTCTATAGTTGTAAGCGGTAACAACTAGGCCAGAGCAAAGAGTCTACATAACAAGAGGGGCCACTTCTCTCTTTGAGCCAATTAAAAAAGTGTCCTCAAAATTCGGTGGCACCGTCTTCGCAAATGCGCACCCTTTGCGAACAGAGTTACCCTACTTGAGTTTAAAAAATCAAAGTGAAATTGAATAAATTTCGGAAGAACGCTTTTTTTTAAAAAGGTTACGCTGACAAAAAAACCTATTCCGGAGGAAAGGGTGATTGTTTTCTTCGTTTAATTTGACGTTAGAATGAAAGGCGAGAGGTCATTAAAATTTAAAAAAACTAAAACTCAACACTGAACGAACCCGAACTGCTGATGAACAGCAGTTGATCTGCGCTTCCAATGCAAGGAGGTGCTATTCCTATTCTTCTTCGGGAAAAACGAAAGAGAGCTTCAAAACAGACTGCAGCGCCATCTGAAGTAAAGAGCGAACTTCCGGCGGACACTTTTTTGGCTGAGTGGCCCATTTTGTTATGTACTATCTTTGGCCAGAGCAAGATCGACTCTGGGATCGATTCTTTCGAGTCCAAATGAGGACTCAAAGAATCGATCTTGTTCACAGACTCTAAGCTTCGAGTCCGCCCAGGGACGATGCCTCCCGTCTCCTTTTTTAAGCCTGGTTCCTAGCCTAGACTCCGAGAATCGAGGCAAGAATCTAAATCTCTACCGCACTATTACAGTCCTGTCGTGGGATAGGCCTAGGGCTGTCCCACCCCACAGTCGAGTTTTTCGCTTCAAAACAGACACCGCGCCAGGACAGGACTGATCCAGCGTATAAGGCGGCTTCTTTGACGTTGGCTTAGGCGGAGTTTAAAAATGCATTCCAACAATGTCTTAAATATTGGCCAAATTTAAGAAATAATAAGATTTTCGTGATCAGCGACCAAAAATTAGCAAAAATATCGCGTAAAACCCAATTTCATGCCCGATTACCAAGTTAAATTATATTTTTGTGAGTTCTGTTTACTAATAGTTTTTTTTTTCACTATTTGAATTTTTCGTGCACTAGGCCTTGATACATGTAGAAGATTCAAGACTGTCTTCAAGGTGGATGAATCGAGGTTGTATGTGCCTGTGCTCTGTTGCTTCGTATTAGACAAAAGAGAAAGAGAAAACAGTATTAGGTCATCCTGTACACTCAAGTTCAAAGGTTTCAAACGTCAGATGGGTCTGTCCCGGGACGAACTTTCGTAGGCCTCGTGCGGTAGGGGCCAAAGAAACTGCCAGTCAGTCACTATCAATTGTCTCACGCAACCCCCCACCCCACCCCACCTTCCTCTTCCTCTTCCCCGCAATGAGTGAATGCTAAACTAGGCCTACCGTGTAGCCCAGTACGAAACCACGCTGCACATAGATAGGCTACTGCTACTTTGAATGTTGTTGCCCCACCCCTGCCCATCCCAAATTAAATCATTCACTTCCTGTTTCTCTTTCTTTTGTCTTGAACGCCTGCTTTTGTATTTCACTGCACTTTCATCTTCACTGTACACGTATTCTTTTGTAAATCATATTGTGTGTTTTGAGTTGACATCAATGAGTCATCATGTCTGGACGTCGATCTTTAGCTTGGGACTTTTTTTTATAAGCAGGAAAACACAGTACTGTTGTTTGTATGATTTGTAATAATGTTTTGGCATACAATAACACAACATCGACAATAACAAAACATGTGTCATCAAAGCATGCTTTGACATATTATCAGGAAGCAAAAGGTGCCAGAGAGAAGGAGCCTGTCCCCCACGCATTGGCAAGAGTGATAGAAGGGAGGCAACATACACACACACACACACACACACACACACACACACACACACACACACACACACACACACAAGTGCGTGAAAGCCAATTTGTCTTGGCACGCGCACAGGCTTAGCCAGCCACGTCTGTCAAACTCGAGACTCGAGGCCTCGATTTTAAGAGCTATTTTTAGCAGTGTTCAAGTCATGGCTTCTAAACAGCCCACTTGAAGCAGCTTCCAAACTCGAAAATCGGACTCGATTCCTCGATTCTTTTTAAGTTTTGGAATCGAGGCCTCGAGTCTTTTTACCGTCGATCATGCCCTGGCCTAGTAACAACAGTGAATGGATAAACGAGCAAGCCGCCAAGTTGGTAACTCCGTATTCATTGCGTGATATCATTATGTTATCTTATATTTTTACGATTTTGATAGAGCAGATAGAACATTTGGTTTCTGACCCCATATAGTTAGTAACTCAAAATGGCCAAAAAGTCAGATAGAACTTTGTAATTCTGAGGTAGCGATATGTCAACCAATTGATAATGCCTTTACCTTCTTTTTGTATCAGTTTCGAAGTGTACGCATAAATGTTACAAAAACAAAACAATTTTTTTCCTCTCTCCAGAAAAATTGTTTTTTTTACAGCTTGGGATATTTTCACATCTGGCAGACTTTATACTGACAAAAAAAAAGAAACAAAAAGAAAGAGACAACAACAATATTTTAAAAGACTAATTTAAAAAAGCTATTTCTTTGAGCTAGTTTATTATGTAAAAGCATGTGCATATACTTGACAGTTATAAAAAGAAACGCACACGTCACTAGCATAAAAACATAATATTACGAAAAATCAGGGGAAAGATATCACACGCAAACTCGAATATTCTCAGAGCCTTAGCAAACTTATCACATATTGCCTTCTTTGATTTTGAGATAAAAATATTCAGCATAAGAAAGACTTTTTAATAGGCCAGAGCAAGTGTACACAGAAATTGGCCAATCGAAATCCACAATCCACACGACAACAGATCGTCGCCTCAAAACTAGTTTGTCCAAAGTGTACTTAAATAAAGAGGGCACTTTGAACAAAATAGTTCTGAAGCGACGAGAAGTAAATAATATTATATGCATATCATCGGCAAGCTGTTCAAATGCACTACTAAACCCAAAACTAGGGATTTTAAAAAATGCTATTTTATAATCTATTGCAATGGCTGCATTAAAAAAAATTATAAGTGTTTTACGGCGCTCACAACTGCATACGATCAGTATGAGCGCGCGGGGCAATGAAACAGTTTTAGTTTGATAGGAATTAATTTTGAACTTTGTCCGGGTGTTGGCCGAAGCCTATTCTTATTGATTTTGGACCACCAAGGGACCTTTGACCTGCGTGTCTTGCACACAGGACCTCGAAGATTTCAAGCCCTTATCCGAGAAGGCTAGGTGTTGGATCTTACCTGCCATAAGATCAAGGATGTGGCTGAAAGACAGCAGTAAGAAGGAGCCAAGGAGGAGCAGTAGACAGGCTGCAGAAAAAGTTAGGAGACCAGAAGAGGGGCAAAGGAGGAGAAGGGGTGGGGGGCAGAACATGTAGACGACGGCCCACGACAGAACATTGTTAGAGAGCAGGAAAGGGTATTAGAGGAGAGAGAAAAAATGTTCCATGGCTCTCCGGATTTGCACCCAGGACCTATTGAATGAG